ACCAAAGATCTCTATCCGACATGCATCAAGGTATGAAAACATTGGCTTACCAATAAAGTACAGACCTACTGAGAATAGATTTAAGGTCCTGGCCTTTCATCAAAACATTCTGTATGAGTATGTGACTATCTACCCAGATCATAACAGAGCAGTCTACTGAAGGTTTATACAGACATTTGCATTGGTGGAACTCCCTCCTCCTGGGATTTAATGGGCCACAATGAGATGAAGTGATAGGATGGAGGACCTGGGAATGTTCTGTTATATCACGTTCAAACCAGATTAAAGATTTTACAACCTAAAGTTGACAGAATACGCAGTATGACTAAAGTTCACACAGAATTCATCCACATTGTCAATGATCATAGAAAAATAGAAGAGTGACGGCAGAAAACAGATCAAGTGGTCCATCGAATCTGCATCATTTTTTTGTAGAATAATTTTTGGGGTTTTTTCTACTTTTTTTGTCAGAGTGTAAATGTATGTTTGTCCCAAGCATAGATCAAACAACCATATCCTTCTCATTTACGATTCAATGCTGAAAGTTTAGGCTCTGCAAAAGCAAAGGGTAACCCCAGAGAATTGGTGCTGAAAAAACGTTACCATACCATGGTGCTCACTGAAGGTCTGCCATTTAAAGGAATGTTTATTGATGAATTTACAGTTTAGCATACTACAGGGTCTCAGACCTTTGATATGTTTTACCCCTAAAGGTGAACTCCAGGCAAACAGCTAAATACACCTGAAATACATACAATGGAGCTGTTTTACCCACCAAGGGATAGGATATACAATGTGCATGTCTTTGTCAGCATTGGTGTTAAGCTGAGCAAACATGTAGAGTTTTTTGCCATTAAACCAATGGGTTGAATGGAAAAAAAAAGCTCATAGATCCCCTCATCTATGCAAACAATGTGGATGTAGGGATCTCTTCTGCTGCGCTATTGTATTATGACAGCAGGGACTTCCCCTCAAGAATACACTGACCAGCACTGCAGACATTGGCTGCAGCAGCTGATCAACTGCTGGTTTTTCAGCAAGACCGTTTGATAGTAGCCGGTCTAATGACTGGCTTCTGTTGAACAGAGAAGAGTACACAGAGACTGAAATTCATCCAGTTCCTGCTAAACTGGCCAAATTTTGATACATGTATACCCAACTCACCCTTATGTCCAATTTAGAACTAAAAAATCTCTGTTCGATTAAAAAAAAAATGAATTCTGTAGCAATGAACCACAGTGTTGTATTTATTTGTATCTATCTATTTTGTTTGGGCAAAATCAAAAACATAGGCACTACACCTCCGCAATACATGCACATTTGCCAATATTATTTCCCTATAAAAATGCAGTAAAAAGTGCACTCCTACCTCCCTGTGCACGCTACCTCTGCTGCACTAAAATGCCAAACATTCCTATAAGCCCTGCCCAGTATACCTCTGTGGACTTTAGAACACCTCCCTGTGTATATTTTGGAGATGAAGAGAGGGAGAGGTGTTCTAGTCTAGCATATGAGGACTTGGTGCGGCTAATAAAACTGCTTGGGCTAGTGCAGCAAAGACGCTGTGTTGTTACCTCAAACAGGAAGTTTGGAGCACACTGGATTTCTGACAGATCAGAAAAATTGTGTTTCTGTGCTTGCAACGTTTTTTAAAGATGCAAACATGGGAAACATGCATGTACTGCAAAGGTGTACTGCATGATTGTTTTTTTGTTTTGTTTTTTACCAGGGATGCACATTAAAGGAAAAGTATGTTGTATATTCAGTAACCACATATTTTTTAGTAATTATTGCAATATTCATCTTCAAATAATTTTTTTTTAAGTCCTCATGCACACTGGACATTTTTACAGCTGCTGTATTGGTTTTTTTCTACAGCCAGTAAACTCCCCAGCATGTTATCCTATGTGTCCATGCACACATAGGCTTTAATCAGCGTTTTTTGGCTGATAAAAACCCCATAACTAGTGGGTTTCTAGAGGCGTTTTTTAGCTGTGAAATGCTGTAACGCTGAAAACAGCGGTAAAATGCGTCAAAATGCTAATGCAAAAACGCTGAAAAACTTGAATTTTTAACAAGACTTTACACAGCTAACATAACCTGCATTATTAAAATGCTCCGTGTGCATGGAGCCTTAATGTCTTTCTTGTTCAAACATTTTATTAATTTTCAAAGTCTGTAACAATCGTAGAACACTTAAAACACATTCACAAAAGAGAAAGTCAGTTGGACAGGAGGCCAGATGAAAATGCCATCCAAGTACAAACAACAAGGAACCGTAGCTAGACATGAAAAGATATTGCAATACAGAGAGAGACATAACATAGTATATATAACCAAAAGTGGGAGCCAAGCCTTAATGTCTTTCAACGTTGTGTTCTGGCCACCCACTGTAATATGCTATATATTCATCAATAACTCTTTCAGAAATCAGCGGATCTCCAGTGCAAATTGTTGTTCACTTTGTGATTTCCCTTTGGAAGAATCTCACCAAAAATGAAATTTTTTGTTGCAGGGCAAGTCTAAAATCTGACATGTATCTTAGTGCAGACTTCTGGGAAAATCAGTGAGCCAATCACACAAACAGGAAATTAAATTTCTTGGGGAGTGTTCTGCACATCATCTGTATACAGAATGCCTCCAGGTTGGAATTTTTCTACATACTACAGAAAATTACAGCGCTGCAGATTGACAAGGAAAGGTAATTCTTAATAACATTCAATTACAATATGACTTGCGTTGCAATTTTATATGCTTTTAATTTGCTATTTGTTACCCTATAACTTTGATGCTTTCAAGATCACTGACCTGGAACAAACTAATCAGAAATTTTCACTTTACATGCTTCATGCTAGTCCTGGGTTAGTAAGTCAGAAAGTACTAAAAGCAGAGGTGCCCAGATAAATGGAGGATGCCAGAGAACTAGAATTTCCAGAAGATAGTCAGCAATGAAAACCCCTATAATTTTCTCAGCACTTTATATTATACAGTATATCAGCTGCTTTACTCTTCTAGTGGCTTTTTATTCTAGAATTCCATGCTAACATAACCTGCATTATTAAAATGCTCCGTGTGCATGGAGCCTTAATGTCTTTCTTGTTCAAACATTTTATTAATTTTCAAAGTCTGTAACAATCGTAGAACACTTAAAACACATTCACAAAAGAGAAAGTCAGTTGGACAGTGCCATCTCTGCACTGTAGTTCCAAGCTCTGCCCACATGCTGTTACCAATACAAGAGCTATTAAACGCCTTTATTTCTCATGTAATTTACACCTCAGGAAAGGAAATAAGAAAACTGAAATCCTTCCTATTAAAGCAATCCCTAAGAAACATAAAAAAAACATTATTCACTTTCTGCACAAAAAAATAATAAATGCACACTTTTTTCAGGTAAAAAATGTGCATTTATGGCCTATTAAATGGCTCCCTTGGAACCCTTCTACACTCAGGTCATTATCAAGCATCTCACTTTTTGGTGGATGGCTCCTGGCTTTCTATACACACTCTTATGAATCTGACTGGTGCATATAAATTGGATTTCTGGAGGGCTCTCCACTACTTCCTCTGTTCACTCCCCATTAACTACATTGGAGGAATACTGCTCTGATAGGGGCACTCTCCAAACTGTATGTATTACTGGTCACACCTTTTGAAGACTCCTGTCCACCATTCCTTGCGAAATGGGAGGCAAACCTGTGAAGAACGTTCTAAGACTCTCAAAAAACTAACATGATCAGATTCACTTTTTTAAACCTACCTCTGTACAAGAATTCAAGAGAACAATTTCAAAATCTTGACCCGTTGGTACAGAACCCCTGCACATTTACACAGGTTCTCCCCAACTACCTGCATTGCCAAGAAGAGGAGGGAACACTGTTACATGTGTTTTGGTCCTGTCCTAGGCTTTCATACTACTGGAAGGAGGTCTGTTGTATTATGGAAAAATTCATGGATGATTAAGTCCGAAATGATCCAGCCTTTTTTCTTTTATATGTCACCAATATACCGTCCAAAACATACAAACGGTCTGTCCTACGCCACCTTCTAAATCCAGCACCTCTTTGAGGCGGAGAGACACACAGCCCCCTTCTGCCAGGCTCTAGCTTCATAAAGTAGAGAAATTGAACCAAATGGAAGACCCTGTGTTATCACACCAACATAAATATGAGATATACTCCAAAACATGGAGGCAATGGAACATGTTTATATATTCTGAGGAAGGGAAATCTCTTCTCACGATGAGTTCTACTGGAAGTTCACCCTTTTAATGAGTGTTCCTTGCTCCACAGCACTGTGGTAGTTAATTGAGAACTACAAGCCGACAGCCACTAAGACTGTCAGGACTTGTAGTTCATTCATTTACATAACACTGTGAATGAATGATGCGGCTTTGTGGACAGAGCCCCGCACAGCTGCACTATATTTAAATACTGACAACTAGTATTGAGAATTTCTACTTGTCACACAGGGTGGGGGAGGGTGCAGTGGGTGGCGAGTGCAGCCCTGGGAACATTACAGGTTTCACCCTAAAAAAGGGTGGAACATGTAACACTTTCCCAAAAGGTGAAATTATCCTTTAAAAAAAATGGAGATTTGGCCCACCAACCTCTAATGACAGCAGAAATACCAGTTTTGGTTGAATCAATGCTTTAACAGGCTCATTTAGGGGTCTAACCAAGGGTGGCTTCATACTGCCCCGTTGCACTTTTGCAAAATCGCAGATTTTGTGCGGGTTAGCTGCGCTATGCCATAGATCCTGTGGTTTCCTGCAAGCTGCATCTTTGGTGCCTTCTGAAACTGCACTAAAACTGCAGGATATCATAGAAGTCTATAGGAAAGCAACGCTAACCACGAAAACTATGGGTTACCTGAGCTTTGCCGAAAGCTCAGCGGGACTGCACCAGGGCAGTGCTGACCCAGATCTCTCCCGGAGAAATCCATTTTGGAACTGGCCAGACCCTGAAAGTGAGAATACATTCATACTATTGAAATGTTACCTTGGCTTCTTCATTCACATCCCAAGTGAAGGACACAGCATTATAGGCTATTTCTTCAATGTTCCCAATGGTGTTAAAACTCTCTTTGTAGTCAGCTGGTAAGAAGATAAAACATTACAGTCAGTGACAATGACAATAGCCACCACTGAATACACTTGTTGTCAGTCGCTGCCCAGAAGTCTTTTATTTTCCTGCCCAGGCTAATTTCTAGCTTTCAGTGCTGTCGCACTTTGAATGACAATTACGCGGTCCTACAACACTGTACCCATATGAAATTTTTATCATTTTTTTGTAACAGATAGAGCTTTATTTTGGTGGTATTTAATTACCTCTGGGTTTTTTATTTTTTCCTAAACAAACCAAAAACCACAGAAAATTTTTGAAAAAAAAAATGTTTTTTCTTAGTTTTTGTTATAAAATTTTGTACATAAGTGATTTTTCTCCTTCACGGATATACGCTAATGAGGCTGCAGTGGTGGGCACTGATAGGCTGCACTGATGGACACTGATAGGTGGCACTGATGGGCATTGGCAGGCATCACTGATGGGCACTGATAGGCGGCACTGACAGGCAGCACTGATGGGCGGCACTGACAGGCAGCACTGATAGGCGGCACTGACAGGCAGCTAAGATGGGCATTGATGTGCACTGATATGTGGCATTGATGTGGCACTGATGGGCACTGGCACGAGGCACTGATGAGCACTGACACAAGGCACTGATGGGAACTGACAGGTGGCACTGCTGGGGCTACACTGATCATCAGGGCACACTGATCATCAGTGCCCTGATGATCAGTGTACATACCCCCTCCGCGGAATGCCGATTACTGGCTCTCCTCTCCTCTTGAGCTGTCAGCTTGACAGCTTGAGAGGAGAGAAATGCCGATAACCGGCATTTCCCTGTTTACATGTGATCAGCTGTGATTGGACACAGCTGATCACAAGATCGAGCCGTCACCTTCGGCTCTTTCCGTGATCGGTGATCCACTGTGTCCGAGGGACACAGCGCACCACTGATCACCACGCTGCGCGCTCCCTGAGCCACACATGCGCGGTGAGAATGGGAGGACGTCATATGACGTCCTCCCAGAATAAGAGAACCACCTTGCGCCCGTCATTGGACTATATGGCGGGCGGGAGGTGGTTAAGAAAACTCAGAAAAGCTGCTGCTACACATCACAAGCAATGAGAGTATGATTACCATTTCACTAATGGATATTAGAAAATTAAAAATAACACGATTGGATGTTATAGGGAAACAGCATTATTCTCTTTGATGTGCAGTTTTCATTTATGCTGATACAGATGTAGCTATATTATATTATATTTCTATTAAAATATATTAACACGTCAGTTCCATTTCTCCTTCCTGACAAAGAAACCAACTGTATCTGGTAGATAGATAACTCCTGTATTATGTGTATTGTTTCAGAGATACCATAAACACAAGAAATATAGCCGAGTGACGGCAAAAGAAAGACCATCAAGTTGTATGTTTTTTTTCTATTTTCTTTCTTTTTGTAGATCTGTGTTTTTCCCAAGCATGTTTAAATCTGCTTACTGTGACAGACTCACCACCCAGAAGTCTATTCTAATCTTCAACAACTCTTTTGGTAAAATAATATTTTTTAAAGTTATTTCTGAACTTTCCTCCTGTTAGCATGAGGTCATGTCCCTGTGTTATTAATCTTCATTTTGAATATTCAATCAAACTCTGTGAAGGTCTCTAGGCAGTCAAAACATTGGCGCCCCTCTCGCAGATTTCTGAAGAGTATCTTTTGTAAACTGTTTAAAGCGGTAGTAAACCGCAAGAAAAAAAAAATAATGGGCCCTGTTGGTTTAGGTCATAATGTACTAGTATGCACTGCATACTAGTACATTAACTTACCTTAACACGGAGCCCTCCACGGCTCCCCGGCACTGCCATCTTCACCTGGTCTTCCTTCCAGGTCCGTGGGCTGCGGCTCTATGAATGGCTGGGGCCGCGATGACGTCACTCCCGTGCATGTGTGCAGTAGCCCTCGGCTACAGCATAGAGCTCTTAAGGTCCACTATGATATGATGACCCTTCAGAGCGTATGCGCCGGTGACTTCACAGGCTACATATTATGCCTGTAGGAACAAGTTCTAAAGTGGACTTTACTTCCACGTTAAGAATGCTTTGTTGTAATTTTCTTTCAAGATCAAATCAATATGGGCTGCATCCCATCTGCCATTAGAGCCTGCTACATGGACTACTGCCATTCCCAGAGGGGAACATTGTCTGGAACAAGGGACTTGACCTAGGAGTGGAGAATACAGGCAAAATCCCCCCAAGTGCACAGATGATTCTTCATTGACCAATCAGTAGGTGGGGGTGAGGATGGTTAACAGCAAGAGAAGCTGTTTTCATACCATTTTTCCTGCTATTACCCATAAGATGGCAATTCCGTGACAGGGTGAACTTCTGATCCATGTTGGAGAGTGACCAGTAGATGTTCAGGTTGGCTGGAGTGTCTGATTAGGCTTTATCATTTTTAGCCTTTGGTGAGTGCATATTGGTGGAGGATTTGCACTGAAGATTTGTCATGCTTTAGGAGTCATGACACTGTGCAGCACTTATAGTGGAGACTCCTGATTTGTTATCTCCCCTTTTTTATATAATTTGGACTATTTATGAATTGTTATGTACAGTATCATTGCACAGGCATTTTTTTTTTTCATTATTGAATCTGTTATATATTACTGCACAGGCACTGTTTTCACTATAGTAGTGTTTTATTTATTCTCTATTTTAAAAAAGAAAAAATTTAAATAAAAAAAAATTAAAAAATGTTTTTTTTTTTTTTATTTGGTGGATTATTTATGTAGTAGTTATTCTACAATGTAATACCATGTACTTTATAGCTATATAATATACATATGTTTTTCTTTTTTTGATGCACTTTATGTTGCACTGCACTATTTGCTTTGTAATTATTTTGATCCTTTGTCAAGGGGTTTTAAATGGTGTGGGGCCCATAGGCCGGTGTCTACTCTGTCTAAATCCTACTTACGCCATTAAAGCTGACCTTCACCCTTATTTTTAACATTCTTTAATCTTTATTGTTACGCACTCCTTTAACATAATTGGATACAAATTTTTGCTTAATAGATACCTTAGAAATACCTTTTCAGCTTATTTTGTTCCCCCGCTTTGGTCTTTCTCACTTAGGTAAGACTGGCATAGCATGTACGGCCCTCAGACTCCTGGGATATCAGCAGCATATGTACCAGGAGTCTTCAGGCACCTTTTTTTCATAAAAAATTTTCCTTCCTAGGCCTAGTGCTGAGTGCACAGAGACAGGATCTTCCACCAAATCAGAAAAACTGGCTGAAATTCTAACAGTGGGTAGCCTTTCGGCTTGAAAAAAGTTGAATACTCAACTGACTTTTGTCAAAGGAGCCGGGCTCAAAATTGTCAGCCAGACAGCAGAAGCAGCCAAGCAGCTGCAGTCACTGTTTGGGTATTCTGACAGCCAGATGATCCATCCAGCCCAACAGAGGTTATTCATCCATGTTTGTGTGAAGTCTGTTAGATTTTTTTCATTCACCCTGCAGGTTATTTCATGAAAGCTGCAGTCATATTTTGATATATATATTAAAAGAGAGAGAAGCGGCGCCATCTAAGTGCAGCAATATAAGCAAATAATCTATTCCACAAAATTGACAACTCACAACAGTAGTAGTCAAATGAGCGCTTATAAAACTGGTGACAACCGCTGTGCAATTCTTGGGCATGTTCCAAACATGTGCCATGCCTACTTCTGCTGTATCTGGAGTTGATATCACTCCCGCCTTTCCTGAGGATCCACACCAACCAGGAAATACTGGGAACCACCAGCACAGCCAAGGACAGTGCTTTGGACACCTGCCTGCAGTGGGACCAGCCAGGAGTTACACAGCGGTTGACACCAGTTTGATAAGCGCTCATTTGTCTACTACTATTGTGAGTTGCCAATTTTGTGGAATAAATTATTTGCTTATATTGCTGCACTTAAAAGGCGCTGCTTCTTTCTCTTTTATGCTTCACACAGTCTATTCTAGCTCTTTTTGAATCAGCTGCCAATGAGTCAAGCATTGTTGGAATATCCCTTAACCACCTTTGGACTTTAAGGACTTTACTTGTGTGGTTAATATACGAGCCATCACAGTATACATCTGTTTATTTTCTTCTTAGTGTGCCAAATATTTCTTGTTCTTGCGGTCATATTTTGTTAATATGTATGGAAACCCGAACCATGAATGTTCCTTTTAGTTTTTTAATTATATTATTGGGAGCCAGTGGTGGACTGACCATTCAAGCACTCGGGAACTGCCCGAGGGCCCGGGGTCAGTAGGGGGCCCCATGAGATGCCCCTGGTACCTTTCATTGGCTTTTTTCATAGGCTTTTTTGGGTATGGGTGAGGACACAGGGGCCCATGATCCCCTATTGCCTAGGGGCCCCATGAGTTGTCAGTCTGCCCCTGTTGGGAGCACTTTGTTATAGATGTTTTGATAAATACAAAAATACATTTTGATCCTGCTAGAACTCTTGTGAGCTGATAACTTGCTGTGCTTTCTGTCTTTGCTGCTATCAGTTAGAACTGACGTAGGTCTCTCTGTGGACTTTAGAACACCCCCTTTATGTTACCGACACTTCCTGTCCCTGGGCAACAACGCTGCTCCTTCATCAATGCAATGTGAGTTTTATCACCTCTGGACAGGAAGGGGGTTAGTGGCAGGATCACCAGGTAAAATTAAAGAGAAAAAAAATGAAAAAAGAAGACTAATGTAACCACCACACCTAAAGAATGGTAAGCTGCAATATATTAAATCATTGTTCTTGGCTTACTATATACTATCAGGTAATGGTTTAGATCTAAACACATTGGAGCGATTTACTCAGACGGGAGCACACAGAATCTGGTGCCGCTGTGCATGGTAACCAATCAGCTTGTAATTTCAGCTTGTTTATTTAAGCTTCGACAATAAAACATGGAAGCTGATTGGTTTCTATTCAGAGTTGCATCAGATTTTGCACACTCCAGTTTTAGTAAATATCCCCCATTACATAGTTATGTACAGTAGTTA